GCTGATCCGGTGTATCCGCCGCTTGTGCTCCCTGAACGGGCTGAGGCGGCGGCCGGAGAGCGGAGATCCTCAGCCCGGGTGCCCGGGGCCGGTCAGAGCCGCTTCCTGTCCCCGCTGGGACTGTCCGTGAGCTCCGCGCTCAGCGCTGGGCGATGATGCAGCTCATTTAATTAACTGTTATTTACTGTTCTCTGCCTTCGGAGCCCTTGGCGAGGGGCGAGCGTAACCCCCTGTGTCCCCCTCAGACATCTCTCACCCTGGCACCTCGCACGGCCCCCAGCACAGGAGGGCATAAAATACCTGATTTTCCAGGACTGATATTCCTGCAGCACCAAATTGGGTTAAAACGTTGCAGGTTGTAGTTAACGCCTCACTTTTCACTCCCTGCAGAGTAAAATACCAGCCTGCTGTCAAGGTTCATGTAGCACGCTGGGAAACATGTATGGAAATGCTGATGATTTCAGGTTGACTATCCAATTTTTTAAATCCTATTGTAGAAGCCAGCAAAGTATTGAAAAAAAAACAACCCAACAACTGTTTATTGCAATATGGTATTGTTAATATGAATTTAGGATTTAGAGTATTGCTTGTTATGTTGTAATGGTTAAAAAACCCTGTGCTTTTCATCATGAAACTTGGGTAGACATCAGTGTTTGGTTTTTTTTTTCCTTAAGCTCTTGTAATAACTTTGAGGAATTACTTCTTACTGTTGTTGCCTGTTTTGTCTAATTCCCATGTGGAAAGTGGTGTTATTTCTAACTATCAATCAGTCATCTGTACTGCTATTAAAATCAAATTGGGAAGTAGCAAGAAGAGCCTCTTTTCTCAGCTTGCAGCATTGCCAAGGGCCTTGCTGACCACTAGTTTAATCACATCAAGCAATCTTCTTGTATGTATTTATGTGTACAAGTTATCAAAACCATTGCATCACTTTTACTTGTTCTTACAATTCTGTATAATTAATGTTTTAACTGGGAAGACCTGGGAATATCAATGATGCAGAGTTTGTTGGGAGAGTTCCTATCTTTTACTAGACCTCCTTCTTTATATGTTTGGGAAATAATAAAGTTGGGATCCACTTATATAGAAAAGTTCAAAGCTAGTTTAATTGATTGCCTCTCCTAAAGCTTTTTCTGTTTAGACTGGTTTGTAGAAGCTGTTGGGAACGCTGTGAAAATGGTGGTGTGGAGATAAGCGATTCAGGTTTTGCAAAACTAAAGCAGACTGCAGGAAGTTGATGCAGTGTCACAGAACTGGGATTAATGTGGCAGCTGAAATAACAGATGCAGAGTAATACAAATTGTGGAAACTTTTTGTAACTTCCCAAAGGTGATGGTGGTTCTAAACAAGTTGTCACCACTCTGGAATGATCTTGAAATTATTGTGTGTAGGTGTCTGAAATGAATGTCTCTTACCAGGCAGACAATGGTTAAAACAGCAAGAGGCAGGTAAAAACTCCTGGAAAAGGAAATGAGAACTCAGGGGAAACATTGAGCCAATGTTTGAATCCGAGACATGAGCATCTTTGGGATTGAAGGGAAATGTAGGCAGGTCAGGCATATCCATTTTGAAAGGGATATTGTAGAATTAAAAATATGAAGGGCATCAAAATAATGAGAAGAGAGACCTAATGGATTCATATCCCTTATACTGAGGTGATGTGTGACTCTATGAAGATTAAAACAGTGAGTGATACGGGCAAACAGGGAAAGTATCTGCTGTTTGTCATATTTTCTCTGCATATCTGTAATGCTACTTCTGTTGAGCAGCAGGCAAAAGCAAAAGGACATAAAGTCACACAAAATGCTTATGCAAATTTTGGAGTGGTGCATTGCCATAAATACTATAAATAGACTTGAAAGGCCGCACAAATTTACAGAGGGAAGAAAAACTTCTGTTGGGGCTTTTCAGCCTGATGGTCACAATGGCAAGTCTGAAGGTATTGCTGGTTTGAAGGTACAAGGGTTTGCTAGGACGAAGGTTCCCCTGTTTGTTCTGTTACACGTGATGTTTCTCAGACATCATCTGTCCTTGACAGTCAGACTGGGTGTTGGCCTGTAGGGACACTTAGAAATCCAGTGGGACGGTTCTTCTGGGTTTATGAGCTTGAAGTGACGTGGTAGGTTGGTGAGACTGAGTTCAGAGTTTGACTTGGTTTAAAAAAATTGGGTTATATTCTCTAGTCTAGCTGTCTCTTACTACTCTGGAGTTAAACTGCCACGTGTCTGTTTGAGACCTCTGTTTTTGTCCTGACAGCAGCTGTATGTCACAACCTGGCTGACTCTGCCGGTGGGTGTAAGCTGAGCCCACCTATGCTGCTGTACAGTTAAATCACAGTACATGTTACAAAATACCCCTCTCCTGACTCTGCTGCAACACTTCAGGATGTGCTAAAGCCTAAGCCTAGCTTGTAAAATGACCATTTCTGGTAAATTCTTCTTGTCCAGCTACATGTCTCTGTATTTTTCTAGAGTTTTTGGGTTTAGTTGAGAGCAGTGCATGCTGTTCCCAGCACTGCACTTGAGCAAACACAAGACCTATGAAGTCCAGTTTGTAAAAATCTTGCTCTCGTTTTCGTGTGAGGAAAATATAATGGTGATAGAAGGATATTACTTTATTACTTAATAAATTAAGCCTGGCTTAAATGCAGGAACTTTATACTCTTTTTGATTAAAGTGCTTGCAGTAGATGAGTAGTTAGCAAAGTAACCCTCACTTGTAGATAGATGTCTCCTGTGTTTTTTATGGACAGAGCTTGAGAGGATTACATCTGCACCTTGGCCATCTGGAACTGTGGATTTGGGGTCAGACTTCTCATTTCTGAGCATGGACCTGACTTGTGGTGTCATTCAGTTTATCATCAGGGAAAACTCCAGTTTTGGCTGTCTGCTTCCTACTTTGTGTTGTGTTCCTTTCTCCAACTTTTCCCTTTGATACTGAGGAAATGTTCTGAAACTGAACAAACTTGTTGGTTTGGATTTTAGAAAACACTTTTTTTT